CCCACATTTTAAAGTTTAGTGTTGTTTAGAGATATCGTTTCAGTGGGAATTTTATACCTACTGATATCAATATTGATATAAATATAATATATAAAATTGATATTAATATCAACATTTTTAAATGAGACGCATACATGCTTTTTTAGGAAAACAGTTCTTTCAAACCTGAGGAAAATTCTGGGCTCAAAGGTTTTTCCACAAAATATCATTTAGTCTAGTAAATGAATTTATTTTGTCCTTCAAACAATATATTGCATATATCTGTGAAGCATTCTGTGTGTGGCATTAATCAATATGGGTAAGAATTGTGTATTCTGTGCTATTCTACAGTCCTATGGTTTGTCCAACTAATTAACGTATCTGGCACGAACCAAGAACTTACATTGCCAAATATGTGAGACCCTGTAATGCAAGCCAAACACTGAACTGCCACTGTCTCAAAAAAACCCAAAATTCTTCCTTGAAATCTCTGAGGGCAACAATTACTAGAAAAAAAAATAAAAATTATACACACAGAGAACAGTAAATAATTACTGCAAGGATGTGAGAGGGCATGGTTTGAGCAGTTAGAACATTTAAGATGGAAAGAAATGTCTTCAGTTATTGCCAGTACAATAACTGAAGCTACTGTTGTTATTAGACAACAGTGAATGTAAGAAAATTGGCATAATACTGTGGTTTTGTTTTGTCAACTAAAACTGTTTCTGGTGTACACATTAATACTGATCTGTACAAATATTTTTCATATTTTGATATAGCTTTGGGCTACATAATATGAAAAAGTCAAACCACTTAGAAGCTTTTGAGAAAATTGACATAATTTACTTTCACTCAGTAGAAAGGCCACAATATTTTAGTGGTTTTGTGAAACTGAAGTCTGAAAGACTGAAAGGTACTAGGAAAAGAAAAATTATGTTCTTTCCCCTAGTGTTAAATAAGTCTATGTCAACATTGAAAATCACCGGTAGATTTTGAGATAATTCAGAGGCCTTTAAGGACATGATTTTTTGTACATTACTGAAAGACAAAATTTTGTCAAATTACATAGTGGCATAATTGCATGAATGTCTTTGTTTTGTACCTTTATTTTAATCACTTCACTACAGTTCAAAGGAATTGTGAAGGATTACAAAGATATAATACCAAGTATCAGCTGATTATAATTTCAGTTTGATTGCATCAACTGATTTTGACCAAAGGACAAGCTAATAAAAAGACACCAGCATAACATATGAATGTTCTTTTTAACAATATACTTGAGGTGAAAAAAAAATCTTTGTAATAATCTTAAAAAAAAATACAAAATAACAAGCAAAATAAAGAATTAATTTTCCAATGGTTTTTTGTTGCTAAAAATACAAATTTGGTGATGTTGGTAGAAAAGACCTTTTTAGTTTTCTTTTTGTAATTTGTGATGTTTATGTTGGGGAGTGTTTTTGGGTTTTTTTGAAGAGTGGGATTACCCTTCCTTCAAATCTGCCCTCAGTTACGTAATATGAAATCCTTTATTGTCAATTTTAGTATTGGAAAACAATATCTTTATTTATCCTTGAGACTGAAAATCTTAAAATCTGTGTTATATCAAATGAAGCTACCAAATCTTTTAACAGAGACATGACCTGTCACACAGCTCTAATATATAAATCCTGAACAGAAAAATGCCCATTATTTTAATTTTTTAAAAATTATAATTTTAGGGGAAAAGAAAGTGCTTGTTAGTAGATCATAAGAGTTATTCTTAAAGAATTTATTAATATTTATTTTATCAGGTAATTTTAAAAATTATTTCAAGTAAGTCTTCATAAAAACTTTACTGTAAATAAAACCACAAACTGCAGCATTTCCAGCTCTCCATATAAAAATTCATGCTTTATTTTTGTTGGTAATCTATTTCTCAAAATCTGTATTCACATTTCAAAGCATTTTCAGGGTCAAGGCTTCATAAAAGGTAGTTGATACATGCAGGAAAGATGAAAGGTAAAATATTAATGAATGGAAAAGCAATATTTAAAAATACGAACTCAAATCCTGGAGCAAGGTTT